AGTAGCTAGTTTAAAACACTTCTAATGTCTGTACACTCCCTTAAACCAGTGGTTTTAGTCTGTTTTACCACAGAGGCAATTGCATTTTACATTTTTTCACTTTACAAACAAACTTAACATTCCTCAAAATCGTGACTTAAGAAATAACATCATGAAGGAGTCATACACTATTGTTCAAAAGGTTAAGGTGACTAAGACTTTTTTATTGAAAGAGATTACTATTTTAATTCAGCATTAAATTGATCAAAAGTGAATTTTACAATGTTAAGGCAAATTCACTCTTCACCGACAGATAAAGACAAATGGTAACAAACATGTTCATTGGGTTTTGTCAGATCAGTGTGTCAGCATCTGTTGGTGTTCGTTGCTTATTTATTTTTGCTGACTTGAACATGTTAAATCGCCATTTGTTGGGTTTTGGAATATCTGAAAGTGACATACTGTAATTGGTTGGCTGTTGACATTGCTCTGCATGTTCTGGTCTAAATTGGCATTTACAATATTCCTATTTCAAATAAACGCTGTTCATTTGAACTTTCTATTCATCAAAGAACACTGAAAAACTGTATCACGATTTTCACACACACACAAAAAAAAATTACAAGGCACAATTGTTTTCAACATTCATAATAATAATAAATGTTTCTTGAGCACCAAATCAGCATATGATTTCTGAATGATCATGTGACACTAAAGACTGGAGTAATGGCTCAAATAAATGCAGCCTTGGTGAACATAAGAGACGTCTTTAAAAAAATATTTAAAAATCTTATCCACCCCGAATTCCTGAATGGTAGTGTATATTATCTCATTCCAATCTCTCAGTTTTTACACAAATTGATTGTTGACTGCACTCATGAAGATAATCCTTAAATAAATGTTAAATATTATTCTTTGATTTGTGATTATCAATAGAAACAGACCAACATTAGTTCCCAAACTAGCCAGTCCCTATTGCTTTATTTAGGATAAATATTACCCGTTCTTGCGTAGTTTATTTGTTTGTTTGTTTATTCGATGAATAATTCAAAAAAATAGCAACCATTCCCATTTAAACTGTATTTAGAAAAATGATGGTAACAGGGTTGCAAAAAATCTTTAGAAAATTATGAAATTATAATGCAACATGGCTGGAGTCAGTGAATTGAACGGTTGTGACACACTAAATCAAAGCTGCCCACTGCCACTGCTTCACTTACAGCAATGACCTCTGATATAAATCTATGTGAACGGCATTACTCCAGCAAACGCCTAGAGCAGCATTGGAGAAAATCAAGAGTGCATAAATATGTTGAGCCAGCTAAACGACAGAGCTGAGAGGAGAGCACTTTTACTGTAAGACTATCAAATCTAAGGGAATGTCGTTCCATGTGGAAATTAAATGTATTATTTGGTCTGTTTTGTAATAAAGAGATTATGGCAGGAATAGGAAGGGATTGAGTTTTACAAAATCCTGTGCTACATTATTATGAAACGAGCACAAAGCAATATGCCTTAGCACACCAACAAAACCCCTGTATTTCTAGGCAGCTGCTGAAAAAGAGACATAGTAAAACAGAAGTGATGGGCTAGAGAGAGGCCTCCTCAATAATTTGGACACCTAAGACCTTGAAAGAGAGACTAGTCTAGGCCATAACCACAGTAAACTGTGAAAGGAATGTCTTGTCGGCTTGTTTATCTAAAAAGACCCTGCCCAACCAGGCAATATTTGAACTCGTGCCTCTTATTCACACAAGGAATTTTGAAACAACCATCAACTTCAATCAGGCTATATGTAGTGAATTATGATAAGACATGGTTTGAGAATCATTTGATCTAATTTACTAGCTGGACTGACTAAACCACAACTTCCATTCAAGGAAAGTATGATCAGGAACAACTGGGTCACTTTTTCCTAAAAGGAAAGTGGGAAAAAACACAAATTACGTCTATATTTATCCCACCTTCACTGAGTTTAGAGTGACTGCCTTTGGTTTTCCCAATGTTTCAGTAACTGTAGGCTCTCAGATTGAGCTTTTTCCCCTCAATCCTCTATTAAATCACAGCGATCAGGCAGAATAACAATCATACCACTGTAAGTTTATGAGGTTTCAAACTGGGGTCCAGGGACCCTCAGGATGCCGCAAGAGAATACTAGGAAACGTCTAGAGAATTTTTTTTTAAGTAAAAATAAATAAATCAAAGATTTAATAAATAAATTATGCATATAATACAACAGTAGGCTACTATAATGAATAGAAATGTAATAAATGAAACGGAATAGAAACAAAATATTTTCCAAATAATTAATATTGCTGTTTTTTACAAATAGGGTGGGGGGGGGGTACCTCGCAGGAAGATTATCATATTTGGGGGTCATATATATATGATTATCAATCATATCATTATAATAGTAAGCAACCACTTGCAGGTCATATACACTAAAAGTAATCATAATCCAGCCATAATACGACAAAGTTCACCTTGCATTTCAATATTGTCATGGAAACTCTTAAGTAATACTCACATATGGCTCATATGTAATGTAGAGATCAACGCTGGTGACTCACAAACCTTTAGACATTCCCGAGTCATATGACCAAGGGACGATCCTTCATTTGATATTGAGAATATAAGAATATAACCGGAATGTTGCTGGGTTACGTTGTTTGAGTTACATCTATTTCTGCGTTTTGACGGCAGTGTAATGATATAAGGGGCGTTTAAACGATTTCTTGAACTCAAAACGAAAGTTGAACTACTTTTAACTTGACAAGGCATCTTAAAAACGTAACGCTTGTAGACATTGACAACATAGCGACGCGACGGCCCGATACGTCGTCAGTATGTGTAACGTTACATAAACCAAAAATAACAAAAATAGTGCAACTGAAACACAAGAAGAACGCGTCCCGTGTGAACGGCCCTTAAGATTCAATTCTCTGCAGTATTACATAATTCATTACTATAGAGACGAGCAACTTAGTTCAACCAAACCAACTCACTCGCACTTATATGCGTAGAAATAAGATCGTGTGGCATTCGAAGCTGCTTAAAACTAGGCAAATGCGTAACGTTATTCGAGTTCATCTCAAATGCTCAGTTGCAATAGAAACTGGGTAAGTTAACGTTAACTGTGTTGAGTGGCGTAATAATAAAAGTAAGACGAGAAGAGTCTGCTATCAGCTGAAAAGCAATCGAAAAACGGCGGAAGTAACTACAAAATATTACAGACATTTGCTTTTGCGAGCTATACAATCAAGTTTCCCAATGCATTTCGCATCTACTTGTACGTGACTTGCAAAAGAACAAGCCCTTTCCTGCTGCGCTTGTCAAATCGACAGGCGTTCAAATGCGGAATCGGTGGTCGTGTTTCACTCACCTCTGAAATATATTCCATAAAAAGCCCTGATCCGGCGGCGCGCTGTTATAATGAGGCGGTCTATACTGATTGTGGTAGGCCATGTCCTCTGCTTGCCCCGCTAAACGATCAAATGCGCTCTCTATGAGCAGCGAAATCCAACTTGCTTCAATCTGACTCTAAAAAAATTCTTCACGCAGAGGCGTGGCGTGAAACTCGCCCACTTCCCATTAAAAATTAGCGGACGTCACGCGGGACCGCCCCCTTCGAACGCTCCCGGGGACTTTCCGCTGTTTTGATTGGCTCGTCTCAAGCCAGCGCGGACTGTTTGCGCTAAATGGGCGGGGCCAACAGTCTGACAAATGGAAAATGTGAACTGTTCTTAAATGAAATATCTCTGTTTGACAGATTTTGACAGGAGAAATGTATTTTCCCCACAAATAGCAAGGGTATTCAAGGCCAAAGTGATAAATGTTATGGCGTTTGTAAAGTAGCATGATTTATTAGACATTCTGATTGTCACACAAATACATAATTTGTCATTGTGTCCCTTTAAACCATAAAGCATACGTTTGTAAAATCTTAAATGGGTTTTTGATCTGAGCGTTATTCATTTTTTTAGTCATTTATGTCATTATATGCAGAAAAATATTTAAAACCATTACAATTATCTAGACCATCGGATGTGCGTCAAAACATACTAAGCTGCCTACCTAGACAGCATTGTAGAGCCTCAGAACGCGCCAAAATGCTGTCTACGGAGGCAGCTCACTAAGCTTTGAGCCGCAGCCCTCGCGTCATCTGTCAATCAAGCCTCGCAGAAATAACTGCTTGAAAAGCATCGACGTATTGATTTAGCGCGTATCTGAGGAAATGTACATGATCTCCTCGTGTTTTTGGCAGAAGTAGAGCGTGACCAAAGGTTATCAGATTAGATTTTAAATTAGATATCGATTGGGTTGAGATTTGTGTAAAACCGAACTCTGAGGTAAAATGTTTTATTATCCGAACGTGCTTCAGCGACACACTGGCTGCTTCTCTACTATTTGGTATGTACTTTAACTTAGTGTAAAATTATAATGAATTTAACTAAATACTGGCCGTTTGTTAAATAAATAACGGGATCGTTTTTTCTATGCTACTAACGTTAGTCACGCTGAGGTAAAGTTTTTAGACAACTGGCTAACTTCATAAGTTAAACAGTCAAATGTAACTCTATATAATGTGGAAAGTTAAAATAAACTCCATAGAAGATGTACAGTTATATTCAACCTACAATTAGACACTATTATTTGAGTCAACGGGACGTTTAAGAACAGAGGATTGTGTCAAAACATTGACTGAAGTTTTGTTTGTTGAACTTTGGTTGTTTGTTTTCAGGCTGGCAGCCACTAAAGGCATCAGGATTTCCAGAAGAGAGTATCTCAAGGTCAACGTCGGGCGAACATGGTTTTGTAATGCATTACTTTTAAAAGTAACTTTCCCCAACACTGAATATCACCATAAAGTGGATGATAATGAGTGGTATTGTTTCTTTCATGTGTATTTAGTTCTTTTTGTCATGATTTTAAAATGTTAATCAGTAGGTTGTGTTTGTGTGTATATTTAGTGAGGACATTGTGGATTACGTGATGGTCCAGGTTCTTCCAGTCCATCCCAGTCTTCCCCGGCCCCGTTTCTCTCTTTACCTGTCCTCTCAGCTTCAGTATGGTGTAGTCATTGTCTACCATCGCCAGTGTGCTTTTCTGCTGGGTGAGATAGTCTATTGACTAGTGTAGATAGTACTGCTTTGCTTCACATTTATGAACATTTCTACGACACGCCACTTATTTCAGTCCGAGCAAAACTGATCAAAGCAACATGTACAAAAAAAAAAACTATCCCTTGTAAAAATTAAGTACACTTTAGCATAATATTTTAAAAGAGTACTTTATTATACTATACTTTTGAAAAGAATATACTTAAGTGCAAACTGAATGTAATGGTTTTGGACACTTAAATGCTGTTATTTGCAATTAAATTCAAATATATTATGGTCAATAGCGCACACTATTATCTTGTATTGATCAGCTGGCTGTATCTGAGAAACCGTTTGCTTCCCAGCAGAATAAACAGTTATTAAAATTCTTCGGTTATTAAAATTTAAGATAGCTGCCAACAATGTTTGCACTGGGGAACAGATTATTGCTGTTGTGAAATCTTCACTCTGTAGTCTAACTATAAAACACATTGTCATGTATTGAGTGTGTTTAGAGATTAGCATGGAACCGATAAGCAACCGTGAATCAGAGAACAATTCAAGTAAGCTAAGATTAAAAGCATTCATCAAAATGTCATGATCTCAGAAAACCGCAGACAGAAATGAAGACGCATGTAAATATGAGCAAACAGATGCATTTTGCTTTAATAAGGTAGCATCTCAAAATAGACAAGCTGAACAAACAGCTTAATCTATAGAGGTGTTTAATTTATGAGCTGGACAAAATTGAACAGAATTCATTTGAATATCAAATTACCTTAAAATGATGTTTGGACAACAATATTTTCCACTGTGTAGACCAATTCCAACTCCAGTCCACCCAAATCATTTATCAGAACTTAACTGCAAAAACAGGCTAGAAATCATTAGGCTTATGATATCAAAATGAGAACATTTAACATATGATTTACATATCAATGCATATTTAATATTCATAACATGTCCCAACCTGATAAATGACAGTGTTAAATATGCTAGTACACAGAAGTTACCTAATCATTACAGATGTCATCTGGGTATGAAAGTCTTAAAGGTACAATAGCAAAAATAGCTCGTTTTATTTGTATTTTTTTATTAATTTATTTTATCTTTTATTTTGTTTTATTTAAGGATTAGAGAGAGGTTGTAAACGTTTATATTGAATTGAATTACTAAATTAAAAACTAAATAAACATGTTGGCGCAAGAATCCTTGGCATGCATTATAAAAAAAGTCCACAAAATGGAGAATATTGTGCAGCCCTTTTTAGTTTACTCGCCAGACTGATATTATACAGTGTATATATATATATATATATATATATATATATATTTGTAAAATGGCACAGTTTAATAAATATCTGAAAGTACACTCTTAACATCAGTCAGTCAAGCATTATAATATGATAATCAAAATTATTTAATGATAGAACTTTAGTAATTAGAACTTGATAACCATGTATGAATGCATATTAATCATTTTAACTGAACTTCGGACTGGTGGTGGTGCTTTTTTGGTCATTCAGTGTTTCTGTAAAATAATAAAAAAAATTGGGGGAAAAACTAACAAAAATACTGATAAGATAATAATGGTACGAATTCTACTAATTCTACTAATAAGAACAATATAAAACGCACTAAGGATTAATGAACTACTGGATTCATGAATATTAATCAGGTTGTGTGCGTTCGCTCGAACTGATTTGCTGAGATCAAAACGGGGATGATAATAGGCACCAGCCAATGAGATTGCCGTTTGCGCATTAGCTCCAGCCACTAGCGGAGAAAGCGGTAGTTCTTAAAAGCTGAAGAATTCCAAAGGAACTCCGTTATTTTGACAGCAAAATGCAACAAAGAATATCGTTTACATGTAGCGCGTCAGTTTTCTCTCTCCCTCTCTCTCTCTGCGTGTGTGTGAGACAAAGTGACGGTGAGTCGTGCGCCTTCATAGAGTTTACGGTACGTCAAATACAGGTGCGTTGCACATCCATTGAGATGAACTGACAGCACAGATTGCTTAGCGGAGAGTGAAACTCTGAAGCGCTCAGTCAGAGAGTGTTCGGCGAGTGAAAATCTTTATGTGCTAAACTTATACTTTGCCTCCAACTCACACACTGGCGAGCAAAATCTGAGAATTTATTAGCAATTGGCTAATATTAGACATCATTTTGTCGCACAGATTGAAGATTTGGTCGCATATGCGAGTGATTTACTCGCAATATAGAGGGTTGTTGTGAATGTGAATTTAATTTTTCTAACAAATTAATACAGTCTTAATATTCCATTACATTGTCTGCAAATGTGCTTTTACTATACTGAAATAAACAGTTTCATTTCCCCACAGAGGAGGTCCAGCAGACCATCGAGCGTTTGCTTCGCTCAAAGAGACACTTGAACATTGACATGCCGGACACCGATAGGTCAGATTCAGGGTCGTCACTGTCATGTTGTGTCACATTCTGACACAGACGTTCATATTGTTCCTATACACCCGTGACAGCTGTTTATATGACTGCTGTTGCTATGATTCCCCCTGAGAAGCTGTTCTGGGATCTTGTTTCCTGCTAGGTTGGTGCTGAATGTCCCAGACTCTCTGTTCCAGCTGGAGGAGGCAGAATGGGCACTGGAGCCGTTTTTTGGAGTGATGGGGGTTGACTGTGAGCCGCCTAGTCCTTACTTGTCATCTCAGGTGGTGAACTGCAGCATATACATACAGTTTGCATGAATTATTCATTGGAGTCATATCTAGAGACCAGAATATCTCGGATCCACTAAGCATCTGCATAGCAACTGATAAAAACCTCAGACTTTAGAGTTCATAATAGTGAATTTAACTAACATATCACATTAATCTCACCCTGACCCTTTTTGAGCCATTGAGCCATGAATTTATTGTTTATCATCAAAACAGTTTATAGAGGGCTCATCTCCTCTGGTGGCCAGAAAGGAAATTACATCACCTAAAGGTGAGATTTTGAAATATTGCAGCTGATGTGGGTCAAAGAGCTGCTCTTTATGGTTTTCACACAATCTCTCCCTGTCTTTCCCTTTCAAGGCCTCGTTGCTTCTTCTGAATCAATCACTATCAAAGATGCAGAGCTGGTGCCTGTGCTAGCAGCGGAGGTGATTTTCACTCTACATGCCTCTCACTCCTCCATACTGGCAATAGAAATCAGATAGAGATCTATATTTGAGTCTGTGTCCGCAGCCTTTGCGAACACCAAACACATGACGCTACTTCTGTACCATTTGCCCCCACAAAATTCATACAGCTCTTTGTGAAGTTTTAGATGAAAACAGATCATCTACCCACATGAAGTTTAGTCACGGATAACACCAGATGATATTATTCATTCCTTTTAATCTGTGTTTATTGTACCACACAATTCATTCCCAATCTCGTGTTCCTGATTATATTCCAGTTTGGTGGTGCAGAGTTACCTGAAGCCACGGCTCAGGAGATCGACATGCTCATGGAACAGCAAGATCAGTTCCATCTTGGTGGTGAGATTGATAGAAACTGATAGATAGACACTTTAATGAATATTGATCTCAATTAAGAGGGCTAATGTGTCATTATTAGCCATTCACAGGCCCACACAGAATTTTTGCCCACAGAAGTCTGCAGAATGTTTCGCAGATTTCCGCCGAATTGGAATGAACTAACACATCCCCCGCACCTTGTGTGTTAGTTTATTAAATATTTTGGCTGATTTGATGAATGCATTAAGTGTAGTACTCTCAGCTCCATTTAATACATTTTACCATTTCCATTCCTTGAAATAGGCAAAAATATATATTTTCAGATAAATATACTAATTAATTACTAATATGCATTGCTACATATTTACATTATTTTTAGTTTTGTCGCTTATTCTCAGACACTCCTAGTGGAGCAGTCTGTGCCTCCAAAGAGACGGGGTCGCAAACGGCAACTGATCTTCGCTGACCAAAACACACAGATTTTCCAGGATGCAATGCGGCAACAAATCAACAACCCTCTGATTGAAACTCAATCTCTGGTGGGAGCTCTGTGATAGATAACTAATCTAATCAGTAGTGCTGGAAATCTTTAGACACCTGATGATTTGATTCGATGTAGTTTTAGGGAGTCACGGTGTGATTACAAAAATGATTCTTGATGCATCTTAATTTTTCAGCAATAGCATAGCGGCACAAATCTTTAATGGGTTAAGAGCGTCTCTCTTATGAAAGCTTACTAAAATATGCAAAAATTAAAAAAAGAAAACTACATATTGAAATAGATATTAAATTATATTCAATTAATTATCTGTAGAGGATATTTTGGGGTATGACAGAATTAAAATATATTTTGCTGTTGCTTGATTGTATCGACCTTTAGAGAAATATGTCTAATCAGTTGAGAAAAAATGCCAGGAAATAAATAGGCATAAATACTGAAATAAGTATTTATGTTTTTCTAACTCTAACTCTAATTCAGTAATTTCCAAAATAATAAATAATTTTAATAAATAAAATAATGTTATACATATTTTTAATGCTTTTTTAATACATACTGTTCATAGCCTGAATCCACAACAGTGTGCTCAGTGTCTTAATAACCTTTCGCTCTTTCATTCTTTCTCTTGTTTTGTCGCTTATTCTCAGACACTCCTAGTGGAGCAGTCTGTGCCTCCAAAGAGACGGGGTCGCAAACGGCAACTGATCTTCGCTGACCAAAACACACAGATTTTCCAGGATGCAATGCGGCAACAAATCAACAACCCTCTGATTGAAACTCAATCTCTGGTGGGAGCTCTGTGATAGATAACTAATCTAATCAGTAGTGCTGGAAATCTTTAGACACCTGATGATTTGATTCGATGTAGTTTTAGGGAGTCACGGTGTGATTACAAAAATGATTCTTGATGCATCTTAATTTTTCAGCAATAGCATAGCGGCACAAATCTTTATTGGGTTAAGAGCGTCTCTCTTATGAAAGCGTACTAAAATATGCAAAAATTAAAAAAAGAAAACTACATATTGAAATAGATATTAAATTATATTCAATTAATTGTCTGTAGAGGATATTTTGGGGTATGACAGAATTAAAATATATTTTGCTGTTGCTTGATTGTATCGACCTTTAGAGAAATATGTCTAATCAGTTGAGAATATTGCCAGGAAATAAATGGGCATAAATACTGAAATAAGTATTTTTATTTTTCTAACTCGAACTCTAATTCAATAATTTCCAAAATAATAAATATTTTTAATAAATAAAATAATGTTATACATATTTTTAATGATTTTTTAATACATACTGTTCTCATCTGGTCATGTCAGACTCAGAACCCTGATCTTTCAGGGTTCAAGGACATGATCTGGTGGATACAATTTTACTAACATATACACTATTGGTTCACCCCAAAATGAAAATCTCATTATCATATACTCGTGTGATAAATTATTATGTACTCATCCACATGACACGAGGGTCTATAAATGATATCAGAATAATCATTTATGGGAGAACTATCCTTTTAAAGCCCTTGTGAAAAAGAAGTGCACTTCATTGTATTGAACATGCACTGGTGGTGTACTTCAAATCTTAAAATAAAAAAAAACTGTACAGATCTTATCATTCTAATGAAATATAACTCCATTTAAGTGCACTTTATGAGTATACTTTCACAACTTTGTTTCCTAGCTAGCACACTCAAAGGGATAGCTCACCCAATTAAAATTACCCCACAATTTACACACCCTCAAGCCTAGGAGTATTTCTTCTTTCAGACGAATACAATCGGAGTTATATTAAAAAATGCCCTGGCTCTTCCTAGCTTTATAATGGCAGTGAATGGGTGTTGAGATTTTGAAGTCCAATGAAGTGCATCCGTTTATCATAAAAAGTGCTCCACATGACTGGGGAGTTAATAAAGGCTTTCTGAAGTGAATCGATGCATTTATTTTAAGAATAATATCCATATTTGAAACTTTATAAACCATAATCTCTAGCTTCCGTAAACTGTCGTACACGCGTTTACAATAGAACGCCGTTCCAACGGATGATGTAGGATGTAGGCTTACTATAAGCTCCAGTGAGAAGTGACAAATGCAGAAGCGCAATGGAGAGAACAAAAACACCGGTCACAAATTAGAAATACAAAACGAGGATTTGTAAAAAAAAAAAAAAAAAATGGAGGATTTCGATTAAGCCAAGAGGAGACAAAACTGGGTTCTCATGAGACTAGCATATTCTCACCGGAGCTTACGCTCCGCCTACATCCTACATCATCCACTGTGAACGCGAGTACGACAGTTAGCGAAAGCTATAGATTGCGCTTTATAAAGTTTTAAATATGAATATTTTTCTTACACAGCTTCTTCGCTTTGCTTAAAGGGTACCTATTATGCAAAATCCACTTTTACATGGTGTTTGGACATAAATGTGTGTTGGCAGTGTGTGAACACAACCACCCTACAATGATAAAAATCCACTCTTTCCTTATTTTTTTATCCCCGTTAAACCAAATCAGTCTCACTATGCATGCCATTTTGATTCTCTAAGCAATATGACATCACATTGCATAAGGATGGGCCACGGCGGCTGATGGACAGCTCTGCATTGCCATAGTTTCCGCCCTCAGTGGTTGTACCCTGTCCTCCATTTTCTTCGCACTGGAGCAGCTGTAACATCAACAATATCTTGTAAGCAACATCTGAGCCACTGAGGATGCAGTGGATTACTTCTATTTTTCAGGGTAATGCACCTCAAAATACGTTTAGGTCTGCGCAAATCATTTCCCTCCAGACTGCTTTGTGAATGTCATGTCGTTATAGTGCTTAGCTAACGTTTTAACCATATTTGTGTGCGTACGTTACCAAAGTATTTTAATTGATCAGCGCCACGCTGGTAAAATTAGTTTGCGTTGCGCTGTTCGTTCAGTGGCAATAGCAAACACATCCTCCCTGCGTCGGCGCGGCACGAGCTCTGTAACATTGTGCTGTTTCATCCCACTTTTGGTATGTTTGGCTTCCCATTTTTATGGCTGAACACTGGTTTTCTCGCTCATGTCATGTCTCTCAGTCATGTTGCCTCCACTGACTGTTTATTGCTGTAGGTATGCAAAGCAGTGATGTATATGGTACGCCCTCTTCTGAAGACAGGGCGGGAATATGCAGCTCATTTGCATTTAAAGTGATACACACCAAAACAGCTCTTTTGTAGACAGTCCCAAAAAAAAATATTTTCCAGATGTTATAATAAATGATCTATATGGTATTTTGAGCGGAAACTTCACAGACACATTCTGGGGACACCCAAGACCAATATTACATCTTGTAAAAAGGGGCATTTTTAATAACTTTAATAACCCCTGGAGCCATGTGGAGCACTTTTTATGATAGATGGATGCACTTATTGGACTTCAAAATCTTAACACCAATTCACTGCCATTATAAAGCTTGGAAGAGCCAGGGCAGTTTTAATATGTATTTGTCTGGAAGAAGAAAGTCATATGCACCTAGGATGGCTTGAGGGTGAGTAAATCATGGAGTCATTTTCATTTTTGGGTGAACTATCCCTTTAAGTACACTTTTAAAAGTGCATTTTTAAAAGATTTTACTTTATAGTATATTTTAAATTATTGTTTTAACCATCTGTTTTCATGCTTTAAAGAAGCTTTTATTAAAATGTAAAAAACAAGGCATACTGAAAAGTCTCTCAAATAACAGGAACTAGAACAGTGACAGGAACTACCTTGCAATATGTTTTTAAAGTTGTGTGTGTGTGTGTGTGGAACTACTGTATGCAAGCATCAACATTTCATTTTGAATGTTTTTTTTTCTTTCTTTATTTTTTTGGCTGATTTATTGAAATCGAAACGATATCCAGAATCACCTCTGTTAAAACCATTAATATGTCAACAAAATCTTGAACTTGGCATTATCCAACGTTCAGATTTCTGTTTAGGAAATGTATGCAAATTAAAGAATATTTAAATAGATAATGCCTCATTTGTGTATTTAAGTGTCTGGAAAAATTCCATTCCGTTCACGTATTCTTTTAAAGTATCTTATTGGTAGCAAGTACTCTTAATAAAAGTATGCTAATGTGTACTTTTTTTCTCTAGAGAGTCGTTAACCCACTTCCCTTTCTGTGTGTTTTGTGGATGTTTAGGTGGTCAGGGAATCTGGTGCGGCTGCTCTGGCTCTGTCTGAGCTCTCAGGTGAAAACGAAATCCTCTTTTTCATAATAAAATCAATGAGATTTCAGTGTGAAATCACACCTGTTTTTTTTGTGATGGATATAACACACCATGTCTAAGCACTTCCTGCTTTACTTTAGCCTCTTTGCTCAAAATGTCAATCAAACTAAAGCCTGTAGGGGATGAATGAATGGCTGATATGTCTGTGTGTGTGTGTGTGTCCAGCTGGTTCAGACGTGCCGCTGGATGTGTCTAAAGGAGACAAGTCTCAGAGTGACCTCATCACTCCCACCAGCAGATGGTGAGACATATTAAAAGAAAACCGCAAAATGCATTCTTAAAAAGTAGCCGTTACTAAAACACTGAATGCCAGAACATGTGTCATACTCAGGACTGCAGATTTACGTCATACGATCTTACTGGCACATGCATTCATTGTAACAAGAACACTGCTGGTTCAAGTCAGCATGAAATCCGGTGAAATAAACATTATGTAAATAGGTCTCCTATAGAAGAGGCTCCTGTTTCTATGGAGGTGATATTAGAGGAGCATGTAGAGCTGCCACAGGGAGAGACAGAGCCTGAGATGGATGCCATCACCACTGCCGAACTTCTCCGGTTCGTTGAGAAACTTAGTATCTGAACATGTCTTTGAGTGCATAACTGTCTGATGTGATCCAGACATCCATCAGATCTTTTTTCAGTCGTTCTTTCTGTCATACAGACTGATCAACAGCTTCATCAAGCGCTTTGGAAAGGTTTGCATTCACTCACTGCTGCCCCCAGAGGCCGAGCGCAGCACTGCAGCTCATCTGTTCTACAAAACACTGGGTAATCTAGTTTGCACTGAATAGATGTTTGTTTTTACTGTTTCACAGTATATATATATGTGACGTGATCTGTTTGTTCTACAGAGCTGCTCTGCAGTCTGAAGTTAAGTGCATGTCAGACTGAAGCGTTTGGTGTCATCACCATTACCATGAACCGCTGAACACACACCTAAGTGCAAACATACGTGCTCTCAAACACGTTGAAGCTGTTCGATTGTTTTAAACTTTTGCTGAGTGCACACACACTGTTATGATGAGATATATTAAGCCAGTTCAGAAGTCAGTTTAAATACACCGTTTGTAGTCTTGTATTCATAACAAACAAATATAGAAACGGTTATAATATTTGTGGTGATTATGAATTATCAGTTACTGTGATTATTATGTTAACAGTTGCATGGTTTTAGATGTAGAGTGAATTGAAGTTTATATTACAATAACAATTTTTTAAACCTTTTTATGATGGTTAGTGTGTTCATTTTTAACTTTTTATATTTTTGTATTATATTTGTAACTTTTTATATTGAAGTTAATTAGCTGTTCTCAAGTTATGAAAAAAATATGAATTCATTTTACAGAATATAAAATGTATATATGAGTTTGTAAAGTTTTTAGCTGTGCTCAAGTTGTGGAATACATATGCTGAATGAGTTTGTCTCAATGCCAATTGCAAAATAATACATACATTAAAATTGAGTACAATTACTGTTTGTGTATATTTTCTGTGGGGGGAAAACTGAGAATTTCTTCTCGACTCTCAAATCGTTTTACATACACTAATTTATGTCACTTCATACAAATTACTGTTCTTATAGACCTATTATTACTATATTACAGGCCTGCCTAGTATTTACACTTTGTGTACATAGTAGTGTACAGTGTTGGGGAAAGTTACTTTTAAAAGTAATGCATTACAATATTGTGTTACTCTCTAAAAAAGTAACTAATTAAGTTACTTAGTTACTTTTTATGGAAAGTAATGCGTTACATTAGTTTTGCGTTACTTTTTAAATATGAGCATTGGGCTTGATTGTTTTTAATATAAGAAGTTCTATTTATAGCAAACGTAAAAGCCCTTTCACACCAAAAAGTGTAATGAATAAACCTCAGGCTGAAGCAAAAGTAAATTCACATCTGTACAACGCAGGAGAAGAAACACTCTTCAGCAATAAAAAAA